GCTGCTGCTGCTGCTGCTGCTGCTGCTGCACCTATTGCTGATGATGATGATGATGCTGGGGTTGAGGATAACAGCAGAAGCAGCAACAACAGCAACAGCAACAACAACAGCAGCAGCAGCAGCAGCAGCAGCAAACCTGCTGCTGCAGCAAGCCTCACTGCTGCAGAGACACTGCAAGCGCTGCGGGAGTCATCTCTATTTTATGATAAGGGTAAGCCGGCAAAATAAATAAATTTATTTATTTATTTATTTATTTATTTATTTATTTTTGTTGTGCTGATTTGCTGCACAGGCCCTGCAGAGAATTGTTTTGAGGTTTTGTGTGTACGACGATGGATTGCAGCAGCAGCAGCAGCAGCAGCAGCAAATAAACAGCAAAATAATAAGAAATATAATTAAAATTAATTAATTTATTTATCTCTGTGTTTTAATTATGTCTTGGGGCTGCATGCAAAAACAAAAAAATTCATTATTGTCAGAGCAAAAGAGGAAACAAACCCTAAACCCTAAACCCTAAACCCTAAACCCTAAGGATACACCTTGGGTTTTTGCGCCCCAGTCATTTGCAGTTGCAGCTATTCTGCTGCTGCTGCTGCAGCTGCAGCAGCAGCAGAATAGCTGCTGCAGCAAACGCTTCCATCCACTGCTTGAAGCAAACGCATACAGCTGCAAACAAAGCAATGCTCTCCTGCTGCTGATGCTGCTGTTGCTGCTGCTGCTGCTGCTGCCGTATGTATTGCTGTGGTCTCTCTCTCTCTCTGCATATAAATAAATAAATACACATATCTAAATAAATAAATATTTATATATATGTAGGTACATAGATATAGATATTGCTATACAAATAACTAAGCAAATGCATTTATGAACTAAGAGCAGCAAAACATTGCTGTAGATACACCTCATCTAACTCTAACAACAGAGACAGCAGCAGTCTCCTGTCCCTCTCTAGCAGCAACTCCTATTGCTGCTGCTGCTGCTGCTGCTGCTCGGCTGCTGTTGGGGGTTCTTCGAGGATTTCCTGCTGCAGCTCCCTTGCTGCTGCTGCTGCTGCTGCTGCTGCTGCTGCTGCTGCTGCTGCAAGCGGCGCTTTCTCTTTTGAAGCAGCAGCACGAAAGGAGGCCGAGTCTCTCCTTTCTGCTTGTTGTATATTTCTTGCAGCTCTGTGTGCCGCATATTAAATATAAAATAAATAAATATAAATAAAAATAAATAAATAAATATAAATAAAAATAATTAACAGTTTAAAATAAATAAATTATTCTACATTTTAGTCGCAGAAGAACAGAGACAAGTGAAGGAGACACTCACCTCCATACCACTGGTTCTTTGCTGCTGCAACTGCTGCTGCTGCTGCTGCTACAACTGCTGCTGCTGCAGCATTTAAAGGAGAATAAACAACGCTGCTGCAGCAACTGCAAGAGCAGCAGGATCTGCTGCTTCTGCTGCAGCAGCAAGCCCTGCACCCGCACCCGCACCACGCCCACCACCCGCACCGCCAGCAGCAGCAGCAGCAGGAGGAGGAGCAGCAGCAGCAAGAGAATTGAGTTAAATGCAGTTAAAGAAGGGGCTGCATGTGAGAGATAAGTTTATCATCAACCCGTTTTTTATACATTTGTGCGAACTTCTCAACGCAGCCGACAGCAAACAGCAGCACAACAGCAGCAACAGCAGCAGAGAGCAGCGACGAGATGCTGAAGGAGAAGAAGCCTATAGCTGCTGCAGCACCAGCACCTCCTGCTGCTCCACTGCTGCTGCTGCTGCTGCTGCTGCTGCCCAGCTGCAAGCGTGTTAATGTTTCAAGTATAGTTTGCTGCAGCCTCTGCTTTGAGCCGAAGATAGCATCCGCAGCAGCAGCAAACGGTGCGATATTGAGCAGCCTTGATAAGAAAGCAACATGCAGAGGCCTATAGCTAGGCATGAAGATGAAGACAAAGAAAGCAGCTTGTAAAGAAGCTTTAACAACAGCCTTCCCTAAGAATAATGCTGTAAAGAAGCGAGAGAAGGGCATAAGAAAGTGTCCACAGACAATACCGCATAAATCAAACAGCATGTTTGGCCAACAAGATAAAAGAAAGACTGCTGTAGCCCCATATCGCTCAACAAAGCTCATCATACTTGCATGCATGCATGCAGATATACGTCTCCATACACCTGATATTGCTGCTGTAATACTTCTTCTTCTTTCTTCTGCTGCTGATTTTAAAACGCCTTCTTCACCTTCTTCGTCTCCTCCTGCTGCTCCTGCTGCTGCTGCTGCTGCTGCTGCTGCTGTTGCTTGCAGTTCCTCAAACTCATCATCAACCTGCTGTGCTTTTGCTGCAGCATAAGAAGCAGCATAAGGAGGCAGCTCTCCTAATGCTGTTCCTAGGCCCCACAGAAAAGCAAAAGGCAGCACTTTAATAAACACTTCAAAGAAGCCCGGCCCTGCTTCAAGCCCCAGCAGCAGTTGCTGCTGCTGCTGCTCAGAATTCTCATGATCGTGATGCATCAATAACTGGTGTTGCTGCTGCTGTAGCTGCTGCAGCAACATATGCTGCTGCTGCTGCTGCTGCTGCTGCTGCTGCACACAGGGAAATGTCTCGCCTGGTTTAAGCACAGAACCCCACATGTTGCTGCGAGCATCAAATGCGGTGTCTCCGCAGATTGCTGCTGCTGTACATACAGCGTAGATATGCGGAAATAGAAATAAAACACCGCTATGAAGACCGCTGCCTAATCCTACTGAGCTAGCTACACCGAGGCACACCCACCAAGCAGCAGCTTTAAAGCAAATCCACAGCTCAAGCAGCAAAGGTTTGTGAGGCCCTTCGATCTGTGCTGCAGCAGCAAGAGACAGCAGCAGCATCAGTAGCCACAGAGTAAACACATGAGCAGCAATAAAACGAGTCAGCCTATGAGTATAGCTTGCTGCACCTAAAACAAAGTAAGACAATGTCTTCAAAGGAGAACGCAGCAGAGTCAGCGAAGAGCGCTGCTGCTTCTGCTGCCTCCTAACCAACGACCAATCCACGCATAGATGCCCAGAGCAGCTGCATTGCTGCTGCTGCTGCTGCTGCTTCTGCTGCTGCTTCTGCTGCTGCTTTTGTTGCAGCTGTTGCTTCGATTTTGCTGCAGAACTGCTGCTGCTGCTGCTGCTATCTGGAAACGCAGTTCGGCAGCTGCGCAACAAAGGAGGAGGAAACCCAAAGGCCTGTTCGAAGACTTCAGTCAGTGAACAAGGATAAGCAGCAGCAGCAGCAGCAGCAGCAGCAGAAGGTGAAGAAGAAGAAGAAGAAGAAGAAGATGAAGACGGTGATGAAGCACCACCCCCAGACCCTCTAAAGTTAATGCCCCCTTTAGTGCCCATCCTCAGAAAAAAAACAATACAAACACACTCTATAACTCAGGTGTATAGGCACCTCTTCAGGTGTACAGGCACCTCCTCAGGTGTACAGGCACCTCTTCGGGTGTATAGGCACCTTCTCAGGTGTATAGGCACCTTCTCAGGTGTATAGGCACCTCTTCCGGTGTATAGCCACCTCCTCAGGGATGGAGAAAAGACAAGCGTGTGCACGTGGTCACCTCAACACCCTAAGCTAAACCCTAAACCCTAAACCCTAAACCCTAAACCCTAAACCCCAAACCCTGAGACGACTTAAGTAGGAGTCTGTGGCTATGATTGCGGTTGGGCGTTGCTGTTGAGGGTTTATTACATTTTATAGAATATCATTTAAAGAAAACATAAACAGAAAAGAAGAGAGGCAGCTTTAGACCTGCTGCAGCAGCAGCAACAGCAGCAGCAGCAGCAGCAGGAGCAGCAGCAAAGGCAGCAGCCGGGGCTCTGTGCAGCAGCAGCACAGTTCCCCTTACTTATCACCCCAATATGAAAAGTATTTAAAAATATATTTCTTTATTTTATAATTGCAACAGAAAAAGAACGAAGAAGAACAAACAAGCATCAAACAAGAAGAGCAACAGCAGCAGCTGCAGCAGCAGCAGAGCCGCTGCCCTCGTCGTCAGCCCCAGAGCGTGAATTGGTGTTAATTTTAGAGTATAAAAATTGTTTCTTTTGCAGAAAAAGAATAATAATTAAGTAGAATAATTAATTTTTAATTAATTTATTAAAAAAATAGTTTAAATATATTATTTTTAAGCGTACTTTGGGTGTACAACCACCTCCTCAACTGCCCTACAAACGAAACCCTCATCCTCTCATCTCCTCAGAGTGTATATTTATCTTCTTTTGTTTTTATTTTCTTTTTTGTCTTTGTTTGTTTTTGATGTTTTCTTCATTCAAACTCTCTCTTTTGCTTCTACACCCAGGAGAAGCCTGTGGTCTACCCTCTCTCTGCAGCAGCAGCAGCAGCAGCAGCAGCAGCAGCAGCAGCAGCACAAGCAGCAGCAACAGCAATAATAACAGCAGCAGCAGCAGCAACTGCTGCCGCTGCTGCAGCTGTAGAATTGTAAATAAGAAGAATAATAATAAAAGAGTTATCTTCAAGTGTATGCACAGATTATAATTAAAAATATACAAACAATAAATAAAGAATTTCTTTCAGGTGTATATACACCACAAACTTCTGTCTTTCTGTTTGTTTGTTTATTAATTTGTTGTTTGTTTATTGCATTTATTTATTTATTTATTTATTTATTTACTTCGTTTGTTTGTTTGCTTTGTTTGTTTATACTGCCGTCTGAGTGTCTGGTCTCTGCTTCTTTGTTTATTTATCTTCTTTCTTTTATTGCTTTATATTTATTTGTTTTAGTTATTTGTTAATACTCTAAATATATTTATTGTTTGTTTACTATCTTTTTCTTCTCTTAAACCAAATAACAATATAATAACGCTGCCTCTCTATGTTAGAGCAGCAGCAGCACGCGCGACGGTTGCTGCTCCGTGCTGCTGCTGCTGCAGCAGCAGCACCAGCAGCAGCAGCAGCAGCAGCAACAGCAGCAGCAACTCCAGGAGCAGCGCCTGCAACAACAGCAGCAGCAACACCAGCAGCAGCAACACCAGCAGCAGCAGCAGCAGCACCAGCAGGCAACCGGGTGCTGCGCTGCTGCGTCTGCGGCCCACCATCAGCAGCAGCAGATTTAGCTGCTTACGAATGTGTTGCAGCTTTTAACAATATTCAGTTAAATGATTTGCTGCTGTCTTTAGACACCTTCCCTGCTGCTGCTGCTGGTGCTGCAGCGACTCCAGCAGCAGCAGCAGGCGTCTCTGCCAGCGGCACTGCTGCAGCAGCAGCTGCAGCAACAGCAGCAGCAGCACCGGCGTTGGGAGCAGCAGCAACAGCAGCAGCAAACGTAAAGTGGTTAGTAAGAAGCAGCATATATCTCACGCATATCTTTTGCCCCTCTTTGCTGCTGGCGGAGAGACAGCTGCTGCCGAAGCTGCTGCTAAAAACCCTCTTTGATAAGGCTGCAGCAATGGCTCCTGCTGCTGCTGCACATACAGTTGTCTTAGAAGGTATTGATAGGCTGCCCGTCTCGCTGCAGCAGGATTTGTATTTGCTGCTGCTGCAGCGGGGTCTCAGCTGGCTGCTGCTCTGCAGCAGCATTCATAACCTCGCTTGCTGCTTCCGCAGCAGCAGCACCTGCATCAGATTCCCTAGACCTACGCATGCACAACTAGGGGCTTATCTACACAAGAAAGCAATTGCTGCTGCTGCTGCTGCTGATGGTGCTGGTGCTGATGGTGCTGCTGCTGCGTCACCGGCAGGAGCACCAGCAACGACAACAGCAGCAACAACAGCAGCAGCAGCTGCTGCTGCAGGAACGACGGAATCAACAACAACAGCAGCAGCAGCAGCAGCAACAGAAGCAACAGCAGCAGCAGCAGCAGCAACAGAAGCAACAGCAGCAACAGCAGCAGCAGCAGCAGCAGCAGGTGTGCCTGATGTTAGTTATTTTGTGGGGTTATCACGCGCAGCAGCAGGAGAGCCGTTGGCTGCTCTTCAGGTGTACAGACGCGCAGCAGCAGCAAACTTCCCCCCTATTCATCAGTTGTTTCCTGATGCACTTCCGCAGCAGCAGCAGCAGCAGCAGCAGCAACAGCAGCAGCAGCAGCAAGAGAGCGAACAGCAAGGGGAAGCGCCAGACGGGGAAGAAGAACAGCAGCAGCAGCAACAGCAACAGCAGCAGCAGGACGAGGAGCAGCAGCAACGGGAGCAGCAAGGTGATGAGCAGCAGCAGCAACAGCAGCAGCAGCAACAGCAGCAGCAGCAGGAGAGTGACGACGGGGCAGCAGCAGCAGATGAAGAGGAGGAGGCACCCGCCCGTGCTGCTGCTGTCTCCTCAGTGGAATCCAGCAGCAGCAACAGCACCAGCAGCAGCAGCAACAGCAGCAGCAGCAACAGCAGCAGCGTGTATTCTTGTGTCTCCTTTCCTGCTGCTGCTGCTGCTGCATCCTTTAGGAAGCTCTATCGCCGCTTGCTGCGCAGCACCATTGACTTTAGGGGGTGATTACTGTCTCTCTTTTATTTATTTTTTATTTTATTTTTGTCTCTTCTTGCTGCTGCTTATCTTTGTTTTATTATGTTATCTCTGCTTTGTTATTCTGTCTCTCTTTGCTTATTATTTTATCTTTTTTGTTGTTTTGTCTCTCTTTGTTGCTGCTTCTCTTCTTTATCTTTGCTCGTTTTATTTGTTTTTCTGTTGTTTCTTTTGCTGTCTCCTTTGTCTCTTTACCTGTCTCTCTTTTGCTGTCTCCTTTCTGTCTCTGTTATTATCCCTGTTAATGGTGTGCTGCTGCTCCTGCGTCTGCTGCTGCTGCTGCTGCTGCTGCTGCTTTGCTGCAGGATGCATGCGCTGAGGCCTCTTTGGCTGGAGTGTCTCTCGAAGGAGCATCTTGGGTTAGCAGATCAGGTTGATTTGCTGCTGCTGGTATGTGCAGCAGCAACCACTGCAGCAGCACAGCTGTACATACACCTGAAACATTTGCTGCTTCTCCTGCTGCTGCTGCTCCTGCAGCACCCGCTGATGCTGCTGCTGCAGTTTTTGCTGCTGCATCAGCATCAGCTGCATCAGCAGCAGCACCTGCAGCAGCAGCACCTGCAGCAGCAGCACCTGCAGCAGCAGCACCTGCAGCAACAGCAGCAGCAGCAGCAGCAGCAGCAGCAGCATTTGGGTGAGATTTGTGTGTATTTGTTCAGAAGATTAGAGACAGTTTGTGCAGCGGGCGAAGAGAAGGAGACAAATTTAAAGCCGACGTTACTCAGCTTCTCGCTGCTAAAGTCAGGCCTCTCTCTGCTGTCTCCTTTTGTCTTTCTGCTGTCTCCTTTTGTCTCTCTGCTGTCTCCTTTTGTCTCTCTTTTAATCTCTTTTTTTGTCTCTCTTTTAATCTCCTTTTGTCTCTCTTTTTGTCTGCTTTTTTGTCTCTCTTTTGATCTCTTTTAGTCCTTCTTTGTCTCCGTTTTGCTTCGTTTGTTTATTCTTTTGTCTCCTTGTGTGTGTGGGGTGTACGTACAGTCGGCGGAGCTGCGTAGGGTATTTTTTGCTGCTGGTCTCATCCCTTCTTTGGATTTGTTAGCGGAGGAGTTGCTGCAATTGCATGCAAAAGCATCTTTAAACAGCAGCAGCAGCAGCTGCAGCAGCATCTGCAGCAGCAGCAGCAGCAGCAGCAGCAGTCAGCTGCAACAGGCTGCATAGACAGACAGCCTTAGATTGGTTGCGCTGCAAACAGATTTTGTTTTAGCGATTTAAGAAAGAAAATAAATTCTTTTTCGTTGGCTTTTTAATGATACGGCGACCACCGAGATCTACACTCTTTCCCTACACGACGCTCTTCCGATCTTTTTATGGTTTATGGTTTAGGGTTTAGGGTTTAGGGTTTAAGGTATTTTAATGATACGGCGACCACCGAGATCTACACTCTTTCCCTACACGACGCTCTTCCGATCTGGTTTAGGGTTTAGGGTTTAGGGTTTAGGGTTTAGGGTTTAGGGTTTAGGGTTTAGGGTTTAGGAAGAAGAGAGACGAATAGAGGTTTGAAGAGACACAAGAAAGGAGACAGCAACAAACTAAAAAAGATATAAACAGACAAACAAACAAACAAAGAAAAAGAGAGACAGAGATAAAGAGAGAATAAGATATAAAACAAATAACACAAAGGAGACAGGCGGAGACAGAGACAAAAAGAGAGAAGAGAGACAGATTTTTATATTATTAAATTAATTATTATTTTATTTATTATTTTCTTCATTAATAATAAACAGCCTCAGGTAAGGAAGATCTGCATGCAGCAGCTGCATGCAGCAGCTGCAGCAGCAGACGCCCTCTATAAAAAGATATATTTATATTTTCTGTAAATAGATATATTATTATTTTCTATTAAATTAATAATATTATATTCTATAAAAAAGATGTTATTATATTCTATTAAGAAGATATTATAATAATCTTTTAGGAGTATATTTTTATATTGTATTAAAGATATATTCTGTTAGAAATATATTAATATATTGTATTAAAGATATATTCTGTTAGACATATATTATTATATTGTATTAAAGATATATTCTGTTAGAAATATATTATTATATTGTATTAAAGATATATCGTTATATTCTGTTAAACAGATATTAAAACAGATATTATTATATTCTAATAAACAGATGTTATTATATAATATTAAAGATTTATTTTGTTCTATTATATTATATTTAAAAATAATATGTTAAAAACCTACTGGGGCTGCATGCAGCCCCGCGGGTCTCAGCGCGAGTATGAGGTGTATAGGCAGTAGAAAGAAGAATAAAATAAATAAAAGTAAATTAAAATAAATTAAAATAAGTTAAAGTAAATTAAAGAGATATTTTCTTTGTTTTTTTCTTCTGTTGTTTTAACCTTTCGTATTGTATTGGGGTGTATAGGCAGCTTAACTAGAGTAAAGACAGCAGCATCTGTTTATATTCTTTATTTCTTTTAATTTAGTCTATTCTATTTTTATTATTTTTAGTTTTAATTTAATAATATAATAGCACCTCATACTCGAACTAATTGAGAGAAAATACTAAAAAAGCCCCAAACCATAACTAAATTCATGTATGCATGCATGCATGCATGCATGCATGCATGCATAGTAGGTGGTGAAGAGGTGGGGTTGCTGCTCTGCATGCGCTGCCCTTTAACGTGCTGAGCTTCCCAGGGGCCCTCATGAGCGGCCTTAAGGCTAAGTCTGCTGCTGCAGCAGCAGCTGCAGCAGCAGCAACAGCAGCAGCAGCAGCAGCACCTGCAGCAGCAGCAACACCTGCTGCAGGAGCAGAATCTGCTGCAGTAGCAGAACCTTGTGCAGCAGCTTCTAAAGAAGAAGCTCTTGGGGCCCCTGGGGCCCCTGTTTGTACGTTTGCTGCTTTATTAACTAATTCTTTATTTTCAAGAGACGTAACAGCGAGAGACATTCAGTCTTTTTGGGTGCTGCTGAGCAAACAAAGAAGAAAAGAAAAGCCCCAAGCTGCATGCAGCAGCTTCTTAGGTGGAGGAGGCATTCAAGCCCCGAAGACTTCGGAAGCAGCAGAAGACATCAGCAGCAGCAGCGCTGCTGCTGCAGCAGCAGCAGCTGCTGCTGCTGCTAAAGCAACCACAACATCTAATGCAGCAGGCTCTAAGGGTTCAGGGGGGACAGAGAAGAAGAAGAAAAAGGCTGAAAAGGAGACAAAAGAAAGCAAATTAAACGCAAGAAAAGCAATACAGAGCAGCACAAGAGCTACACTCAGCAGCAGCTACTCGCAGCAAAACCCAAACGCATGCAGCAGCAACACAGACACCTCCAACCCCCCTACCCCTACCCCGACCCCTACCCCCAGCAGCAGCAGCAGCAGCAGCGATGAGCCTCTTGCTGCGCTGCAGTCTATCTTGGGGGTGGCAGCAAACACTCGAGGGCTGCATGCTACATTAGAAATATCTCTCCTGCTGCTTGCTTTCTGCAGGCAGCAGTTTATCAAACCTACTGTTGCTGCATGTCTTCTTAACTTCACTGGTAGGCTGTTGTACTGGCTCCGCATGCAAAGCCCCAAAGCTGCCCGCTGCATGCACACAGGAGACTGCTACTGCAGCAGCAGCAGCAGCAGCAGCAGCAGCAGCAGCAGCAGCAGCAGCAGCAGCAACGCCATCTGCACCACCAACAGCAACAACGCCAACTCCAGCTCCAGCAGCAGCAGCTGCAACAGCAACTGCAACAGCAGCAGCAGCTGTTGCTGCAGCAGCAGCTGCTGCTGCAACAGAAACTGCTGCTGCTGCTGCTGCAGCTGCAGCAACAGCGGCTGCAGCAGATGCACTGGGAGCCCCAGAGGACGCCCTGTGTCTCCTTTAGCTTCTTCTTTGTGCATCTACGAAGTGCGAGGAGACAGCATAAATATATTATTACTATTCTTTGTTTGTTTTTGTCTCTGATGCCTCTCTACTTATTTATTTATTTATTTATTTATTTGTTTATTTTTATCTTCATTTTCATCGTCTCTCTGTCTCTCTTTTTGCTGTCTCTTCTTCTGTCTTCATATTTACCTCCTTTTTGTTTCTTTTTATCTTCTTCTTTATCTTTATCTTTATCTTCATCTTTATGCTTATCTTTATGTCTATCTTTATGTTTATCCTTATCTTTATGTTTATGTTTATCTTTATGTTTATCTTTATGTTTATGTTTATGTTTATGTTTATGTTTATGTTTATCTTTATCTCTGTCTCTGTCTTCTTTTTGTCTCTGTCTTTCTCGCTGCTGTTCTTTCTTGTGTTAATCTCTTTAAAGATATATATATATATATATATATACAATATGCATATAAACAAATAAACAAATAAAAATGTATATAATATATAATATATAATATATATAATATATATGTAGACGGGCACTGTGTTTGTCTCTGTTTGTTTATAAAATTTATTTTTTATTTTTGTTTGTTTTTCAGCGCGCTGCATTTGTCAGTCGCACAATAAAAAAGGAAATTGAAGGTCTGCTGCAGCAGCTGCAGGGTGTCTCTCCGCTGTCTCCTCACAGCAGCAACAGCAGCAGCAGCAGCAGCAGCAGCAGCAGCAGCTTGGTTAGCGTCAGCTTACGGGGCTCTGTCTCTGCTGCAGAGAGACATCTTTTGTCTGCTTTCTTTGACTGCACATTTGTTAGTGCTGCTGCATTCTACGCAGCAATTCAAAATACCCCTTTAACCCCAACTCCCCCTGCTGCTGCTGCTGCTGCTGCTGCTGCTGCTGCAACAGTACCTGCAGCAGCGACAACTATTGCTGCTGCTGCTGCTGCTGCAGCAGCAGCAACAGGAACTGCACCAGTGACAACTAGTGCTGCTGCTGCTGCAGCAGCAGCAGCAACGCATGCAGAACAGAAAACAAACATCGAAGCCTAAAAGCATTTAGGTCTATATCCCTCTGGGGCTTCCTCTGCATGCATGCGCGCATGCATGCATGCATGCATTTGTTTGTTTCTCTAAACTGCGTGTATTGGGGCTTTGTCTGCATGCATGCATGCAGTCTGCATGCTTGGGGCTTTCCGTCTGCACACACTCTGCATGCATTTATGCGTGCACTCTGCAAGCGTTTTGCATGCATGCATGCACTCTGCATGCATTAATAGCACGCACTCTGCATGCACTCTACATGCATGCATGATGCATGCATGCACTCTACATGCATGCATTATGCATGCATGCATGATGCATGCATTATGCATGCATGCACTCTACATGCATGCATGATGCATGCATGCACTCTACATGCATTAATAGCGCATGCATGCATGCATATTGTTTACAAGTTGAGTCTGAGTTTAGAGTATGCTTCCAAGTCGTACAGCTCGCATTGTACAGGTTTTTTGTTAAATTTACGCTGAGGTAATATGCGCAAAGCTCTGTTTGCTTCTGAACACAAATAAATAAATAAATAAATTAAGATACAGACTTAAATATATATTTATAATGTATATTTATATTTATTTATTTATTTAGATACATATTGTTTATATATGTATGCGTGCGGATGTGGATGTGTTAGTGTATATACAGAGAAAGATGCAAATGCATATATATATAAATATATATATAAATATAAGTATATATATGTATATATATATATATATCTACATATAGACATATATATATATATATATTTATACATTATATATATACACTGCAAGAGAGACAAGTGAAGATGCGTCTCTCTGTATAAATAAAAAAATAAATGCAGAAAAAAAACAAACTACTTTTGAACCCTAAACCCTAAACCCTAAACGGCAAACGAAACCCTAAACCCTAAACCCTAAACCCTAAACCCTAAACCCTAAACCCTAAACCCTCAACCCTAAACCCTAAACCCTAAACCCTAAACCCTAAACCCTAAAACCTAAACCCTAAACCCTAAACCCTAAACCCTAAACCCTAAACCCTAAACCCTAAACCCTAAACCATAACACCAAACCCCTAGCCCCTAAACCCTAACACCAAACCCCTAGCCCCTAGCCCCTAAACCCTTAACCCTAAACCCTAAACCCTAAACCCTAAACCCTAAACCCTAAGCATACCTTCTGGCAGTGTGAATAGCGCGAAGACTCGGACTTCTTGAGTTGCTTCAACGATGTGAATCCTCACTTCTTTAACTTTACCGTACTTCTTGCACTGATCCAATATCTAAGCAACGCAATATAATATAATATACATTATAATTATTATAATTATATTTATATTATTATTATTTTCTTGTTATTATTATTTATTTGTTTATTTAGTTGGTTGTTTGTTCACATAAAGCTAGCAAATTAACAAATAAATATCATAGACATCTTTATATACATCTATATATATATATATATATATTTATATATATTTATATATTTATATATTTATATATTTATAGATATGTACAGCTTAATCTATATATATGTAGGTGTAACTGCACATTGGTGGCTGTATATAAAATATATATTTATAAAATATATATTATATTATATTGGGTATGAATATGAATGCATGCATCTTATGCATATAAATAAATATAAATAAATATATATATTTAATATATATATATATTTAATA